AAAGGAAATGGTAGCTACTCCCATGAAAGTCTCTAGACAGAGTCAACAACATGGGTCCAAAATCCCTCATTATTGTAATCCATGAAGGGGTTGAAGGTTGTGGGGGTATCCACACATAGCCATGAGCAAGAGAAGAAGTTAATGTGTTTGAAGGTAGTGGGGTTATCCACACATAGACGAGAGCAAGAGAAGAAGTTAATGTGTGTGTGTAGGATTTCCTCTGCTTTTAGAACTTTTCCACATTCCTTTCTCATAGGCATGTCAAAAAATCATAAATAGATACCTAATAATAAGCAATCCATATTACAACATATTATTCCTCATAATATATTCAACTCATAACTCATCAATTGTTAATTTTCCAAATCAAAGGAGATTTATCGAAGATCATCACTAATAATTTATAATGTAACATAGTGTAAATTATCTCTAAATCATCCTTTAAAACTTATTTTGGGTTAATAAATATCATAGAACAACAAGTGAAATTTTATGCAGTAAAATCATAACAATTTTATTGGTTAAAAGAATTTTATTTTATCCCTTTTATTATATCTTACTTTTAAAGATCAAATTATCCTATCAAATAATTTTTCCTTTCAAATATATTTTGTTATCTTAACTTGCAATACATATAAATTTTTATAAATTTTACCAATTTTATTTTACAGAAACATTTGAAACCTTAAAGAACTTCATTTTTATTTTATATGTGGCTCATTATTGTCAATAATTTCACAAAATAGCAGTAAAATCTCATTAAATATTCATCAACTATGGATAAACTATGAATTTTTTTTAGGACATTCACATCTCTATAGAAAAAAAAAAGCACACCATAGAAAGGGTTTTACATAAATTCAGAAACTATTTCTCAAGTCTCAACCATGAGAGCACATCAAAATTTCAATATTCAATGCTTATTTAAAACCTTAATAACTCTATGTTTGATAAAAAAAAATCATTGTCTAATAAACAAAGTTCATACTCATTTATATATTTAGTAAGAAATTTTTAAAAAAATAATTTTCCAAAAAAATTGTTATAAATCATCAAAATTGGATGAAATCTCTTTTTGTTAAATCCGTTCATATCATTGGAATGAATGAGGAAAAAAAACCCATACCACTAAAAGTCAGGACAAAACAATATAAGTTAAGATCTTTTATTAATATCAGTTCATAACCATGCCCAATGACATTGAACTTGATTGATGAAGTTGTTATTTTTCTATTTGGTTATCTTGATTCTTTTACAAGCTTATCTTTTTTTTTTTCCTTGTTGGATTACAATGATCATTCTTAGTATGAGAGCATGATATGATTAACATGAACGACTTGGCTTGTTGGTGGATGATTATGCTGAAAATGACTTGTTTTGAATATATTGTTCTAATACAATATTTGTTGTATAGAGACGCTGACCAAGGATAGTGTTCTTTTATACAAAGTAGTGTATATTGATGTGTACTATATATGTTTGTGTGTACGTACATTAATTGTATATAACTCCATAGGAGACTTTATGTTTTCAGTTATATTGGCAGGAACTGTTTTATATTTTTTATATCCTATACATATATTTATTACATGAATATTCAAGTAATTGTTGCATGACAACCCTAATGTAGTTGATTAGTTTATATTTTTTTAACTATATAGTAATTGTGCTATATTAAGTGTAACGACTTATCAAATTATTACACTGATTAATGGTCAATGTATTTACTTAAAGTTTAATATATCATTAGATCTTTTAACCTTTTGAGAATCTTTAATTAGATTGTTGAATGAAATATTTTTCTAATTGAGTCTTTGATCATTTACAATTTTTAAAATTTTGTTTCTTGAATCAATAAAACTATCACAAATTGTTACTTTGAAATCCGCACAAATTAATTACAAGGATTCAATTATTAAAACATAGTAAAGTTCAAAAATTTAATTACAATTTTTTTAAAATTTCTAAAAAGTTCATAAACTAATTGATGGACCAAACCTTTGTTTATTTATAATCTTTTATTCTCACTTTAAAAAAGAATCAAAGGGTAAATTAAAAATTATGAAAAATAACTATTTGTTACCGATTCCCGGACATGCTCATCCGTTGACATTTTGTGTTGCAGAAATGGGATATCTTGAATTAGGTATGGCATCAGCATTGAGCATGAACACCTGTAGCTTTGGTTGGTGGAAAAAGAACGAATACAATAGAAAGACACTGGACAAGAATGACAATGCAAGAAAGGTGGAATAGCATTTACCATCCCCAAAGGATTTTTTTAAATCTTTTCGATACCTAAAACAAAATTTATTGGTGATTTGGTGAGCTAGTTCCAAACTTTAACTTTGATGTTTTCAATTTCTTTTTGACTTTTCATTGAAATCTATCAATCAATACTTTTTAACTCCGCCTTATGCAAGAGATGTGATGTTGCCAGAATTAAATCCAACTTTGTCGTGAGTTAATTTTGTTAACTACACAACAAAAGTTGACAATTGTGCAAAAGATTAAGATCCTTGAAGAGAGCATCTCTACATCATATTAATATTTGGGAACTAATAGATGCCACATTCCACATATATGATTTTCAGCCGTGTAAATTTCAGAGATTGATCATGACCGACTGAAATGATGCATTAATTCCTTTCAAATCAGGAATCAACATAGTTACAATTCATGTCAATTAGTTAAGAAAGAATCTTCGATCGACAATATTTTTCATATTATAAAATTGAAGATTTTAATATTTTTTTTAAGTTTTTTTTATAATTTTACTTATTTTACATTTTAAAATAGATATTTTTAATCTATATACTTATATTTTTAATCATTTTTAAATTTTAATAGTTTAAGATAGATTTTTATAATTTTTATATCTGTAATTTTTTTAATCATTTTAGTCCTTATCTATAATTCTATTTTTGATATTGTCTATTTTGTATCGACACGATAAATGCTTTAATTTTGCAAGAATAAAAAAACATCACAACGATGAGCATCATAAATAAAAGTACTAAAGAGTCTCGAAACATCAAGAGACTTAATTTAAAGTAACTAGAACAAAATAAATTCGATATTAAACGTACAAAGTTGAATTAATATTTTTGTAGTATCAACATAAAAGAGACAATAGTACAAAAAAATTAATAACATAGACTAAAAAGATTAAAAACTACAACTATATGAATTAAAAAGGATTGAAAAAGATAAATATGTATAAGGACTAAAAGTTTATTTTAAAATATATGCACTAATTAAAGATAAAGTAAATGAAAATATAGTGATCAAAAAGTATTTTAACCTAAATTAAGACATAATTGTAAAATCAATTATTCTATGGCCAAGCCATATAAATATGTAAACCATACTAAGATTGAATGTAATTTGATTAAGAAAATGACTCACTAAGTTATGACACTACTAGAATTTCTCTTATTACATACGACTTTTCCTGCAAATTTTGTATTAAAAACCGCAGCAAACATTATTCCTACGAATTTTTCTACGAAATTTTATTTGCAGGTAATACCTTCGTGGATAATATGTTTTTGAGAATTTTAAAATTCGCAAGAAATTTTCATGTAAAATTTATTGCAAAAAAAATTCGTAGGAAAGTTTCCTGCAAAAAAAAATTCGTAGGAAAGTTTCCTGTGAATTTTTTCACAAGAAATTCTACAGGAAAATTTTTTACGAAAAAAAATCAAAGAAATTACTACAAATTCTATCAATAATTCTTCAACTTTCAAATGCTCACAATGAATTCATCCGAAATATTTGTTTCCACGCCTCCAACATGTGATACATAATCTTTTAAACTCTAACATTGTAGATTATAAGCTTAACACTCAACCATACAAATCAACTTGTAAGGTAAGTGTTGCCCCAACTTATATACTATTTAATTATTTTATTTTCAATCGATGTGCGACTTGAAGTTTTTTTTAAATATTAAACTTATAAATTTAAACATTCTTTTTTATTTTTCTTGTGGATTAAAATTGGCAGGAAAATCCGCAAAAAAAGTTACTTGTAAAATTTTTCTACCATTTAGTAAACATTACTTGTGAATTTATATTTGCAAGAAAATCTACAAGAAACAGAATAAATTTCTTACAATATTTTCTTCAAATTTTTACCATGGAAAAAAATTTATATGATCATTAGAATTGTAGCAAAATTTGCAAGAATTTCTTGTAGATTATTTTTCATAAAAAAATTTGTAAGAAATATCTGTAAATTATTTTTTACAAATAAATTCGTAAAAAAATTTGTGAAATTATTATTGCAAGAAAATTCGTAAAAAAATTCTATGAATATTTTGTTGTTGAAAATTTCGCAGAAAAATGACACTTTTCTAATAATGTGATTAGTAAAATCAGTTATTTTATTGGTAGAGTAAGTTATTTTAATTAGTAAAATTGGATTTATTGAAAATCATACGTGGATTAGTAAAATGATCATAACCATACTAATGTTTATAACTCGAGAATAATATTTATTTTACAAGTTAATTATATAAATTTCAGTTATCGTTAATTTATATTTTTTAGAATATTAAAATGTAACATATATATTGTTAGACGTGTATCAATAAATCACAATTATAGCCAAGATGATTGCATCTACTGCTATACAATTAAGGAAACAGGTGGAAGTCATTTTTCATGGATGTATGAGTTTGGGACTAGAAATTAGTCCTACCATATGGGCCCCAAGCGCAAAACACTTTAAAAATTAGCTGGAAGTGCCAAATGCCAATTAACCGAATCTAATGCTTTTCACGTTTTCTGTCATTCCGTGTTTCTTACCATGAAAAGTTCCTTATCGTTTCACTGTAGGAAAAGTTGCAATCTATCACTTCCTATTGGATCAACATTCATTTTGGCATCTATAAATAAGATTGCATGAGCCATATCTCATATCATCAACTCAACAACAACCTAGCTTCTTCATTTGTACCACTTGTCTTGTATTTGAGTTGAGCATTTGCAAAAGCTATGACTAACCCAATTCCAATTCGTCCATGGTCTCGTTTGGCCTCCTTGCGTTCTCCTCAGTCTGAGATCCCACAACCTTCTCTCAAACCAACAAACACTTCTTCTCATGACAACAACAAAAGTGTCACAAAATCTCAACCAAGATCACCACATGTTCACAACCCCATGCACCCACAAAAGCTCAAACTCACTACCCCAATGACCTTTCCACCTTCCAAATTGGTGGTCCACCCTCAGCCAGTGGAAGAAGTCACAATTCAAAAGCCTAGTGGCAATGTTTCATTAAAGAAGGAGTCGAGAGAAAACCAAATTGAAGGCATTGGCCAAAATGGAAAAAAGGTGGCAACCAAAGAAAACGAAAAGCAAGGGAAAGATGTTCACCCAAATGGCATTAGGGTGATAACAATTTCAGGGGAAAACAGAGGTGCTGAAATGCAAATAACCAAACCCCAAAAGAAACCAATTCATCACAAGGGTGAGAAAGTGAAGCCAGCAATGTATGGGAACAGCAACGTGCAGTGTGTCAACAACTCAATGCTGTTCAGCACTAGTCTCACTCATCATGATCCAGGAATGCATCTTGGTATCCCAAAGAAGCCAATTGGCGAAGGATTCAATCTCAAGAAACGTGTTGATGGTCAACGCAATTGATTTCAAGCTCGCGTTTAAACCTAGTTCTTCTTTGTTCTAAGCCTTTTATGGTGTGGTTGTCATGTACTTAGGAAAACAATAAAAGATTGGTTGTGGCCAACAAAGGGATTCATGGGGTTACTAGTGCTCCACATTTTGAGGAGTGGATCATAATGGTATGTAGTAGTTAATATTATAATATATATTTATGTTTAATGCAAAAAACTATGACTACGTTTTTTGTGTGATACAAATAAGAGTCCTTTATATATTGTACGTTCTCCGAAATCGAAAGCCGAAATTTTGTCGGATTGATTAAAATATTATTTTTTTAATAAATTTATTATAAAATAATAATATTTTAATCATTCGGACGAAATTTCAGTGTTCTTTTCTAAAATAGAAATTTCGAAATGATTTTTTTAGTGTAATATGATGACAATAAAATTTGAACCTATAATCTCGTATAAACTATTCAATTAAGCCAATCCTAGTTAATAATAACTTATTATCATGCCTAACATTTTTAAATCTTATATAGTAAAAGGTTCCACAATTATTGAGAAATATCTCTAGTCTATTGATAAAAGAAAATAAGTATTTGTTGTGAATATGGGGTTAAGACACATATGCACATGTCTTCACATTGATGAAATATTGTCCGTTTTGGGCTCAAGTCCTCACAATTTTGCTTTTGGGCACCATCCAAAAGGCCTCTCAACCAATGGAGACAACTGTGTGTATATAAACTCATGTTCATCTTCTTATTTGAACCATGACCTCCCTCATGATAGGGAGGACACGCCTCCTAACTCTCCATGTTACTAGGAAGCCTCTCTTTCACATGGACCTATCGGAAGACTTTCGACACAAGGGGTCCCAAACTTGGATTCACCTGCCAACCATCATACTCGCCGAGCCGGTCACATGATCAGACCATCGACTTTGATACCACTTGTTGTGAACCTGGGAGGGGGATTACCACACATATACACATGTCTCAACATTGGTAATACCACTTGTTGTGAACCTGGGAGGGGAGTTACCACACATATACACATGTCTCCATATTGGTGAGATATTGTCTGCTCTGGACCCAAGCTCTCACGGTTTTGCTTTTGGACACCATTTTAAAGGTCTCTCAACTAATGGAGATAACTGTGTGTATATAAACCCATGTCCATCTTCTTGTTTGAACGATCGATGTGAGACTATGTTTATATCCTAACAGTATCTAATTCATTATATACTATTAAAAATAGTTAAGTTAGTTATTTTTAATTAATAATGTGACATATATACTTGCATTTTATTCTAGAAATAATCATAAATTTAAATAGTTTAAGTTTGTTATATTTGGTGAGAATAATTGTAATTTAATTAGGTTAAATTACATTTTGGATTATTTTATATATACTATTTAGTTTATAATTTTAATTTTCCAATTTTTAATTTTATAATTTTAGTTAAGAGTGTCTGAAAGTACAAATTGACATGAACTCAAACTTGCTCACCCCAACTCAAACAAATTGAGTCATGTTTTTAGAGAATTTATGTAAAATCCAATCTAACTAAATCAAGTTGATTATTTTTTAGTTGGGTATCAGCTTTCAATGTCGAAAATCCAATTTATCCTGATTCATTGAACAAATTTTAAATTTTAACTCAATATAGATGTATATTATAAAACAATTGGTAAATTAAAAAATTAAAAACACACATGGAACAACATTGTGCATATGCTCATTTAAATATTTGTAACAAAAGTAATTATAGAGTTGGAATACAAATTATAAAATAGGATTGTAGGGATATATGTAAAAATACTAATTAATATAACTTGAATTATGTAAAATATAAACAATAAAATTTATAAAAATATACAATATAAAAAAATTATAAATTTTCGAGGGAGTAATATTGAACCAACAAAGATTGGGTCTACCATATGGCGCACCAAGGTTTCAATTTTTTCTCCTCATACTTTTTTTTCTCCTTGCTTAGTAATATTGATATCATTTTCTAACATTTTTTATAGCATATTTATTCTATATATTTTATCTAATAATAATTAAATAATTTATTAAAAATTAGCGGTGAAATAATTTATTATAAGCATTATTCAATGAATTAAAAGGTATTTTTTTTTATAAAAAAATAAGGTACTACTGTCCATGCATTTTTTGCTTTAAGCTAGAAAAAAATAGACTCTTCAAGGTAAGTATTGTTTCCAAATTGTAAGGAAATAAAACATTAAACATGTGTGGAAGCATATATACTTTTATGAATAAATTCTTGGACAGGCACATGCATATTCTTTTGTTTCTCCAAGTTGAAAGCTAATGCTTTAGCACCCAGCGGTTAACAGTGTTTCATGAATATATATATATATGAGGATGGATCCGTTTATTCTAGGAGTAACTCTACCCAGACTTATTCCGTTCAATAACTCATGTTCTACATCAAATTTCAACAATCCAAAAGTTCAATTTAAAGTTCTACAGGGATCATTTTACTCCATGACTAAGTTTACCTAGACTTAATCTGTTCAATAACTCATGTTCTGCATCAAATTTCAATGATCCAACCGTTGAATTTAAAGTTCTTAATGCATAAATCAAATCTATAAATTTTTAGAAAATTTTAAAATTATTTGATACTTCATTTTATTAATTCAAATTAACGGATAATCATAAAATTATTTTATACATTATATGAGGAGGATTATAATAACACCGGTGTAACTTTTACTAAGTATTAACCACTCAATAGCTTTATATTAAATATGAATTTTGTAAATCCAACCGTTAGATTGAAAGTTCATATCACTTTATGTGTTTAGATCAAATTTTGTTTAAATTGAACAATAACTTGAAGGTAATCAAAATGTTTATATTTAATATCAAGTGGTCGTTGGAGAAGTTGACATAGTTGTGTGTGAAGGAAATAGTATGGTTGCACGGGGTGCCTTCTTGTATTATTTCAAATAGGGATCCAAGGTCCACTTCTAGATTTTTGGCAGAGTCTACACCAAGCCTTAGGTACGAGGTTGAGGATGAGTTCTACTTATCATCCACAGGCGGATGGTCAGTCAGAGAGGACAATTCAGTCCTTGGAGGTTTTGCTAAGAGCTTGTATGCTAGTCCACTTGGAAAGTTGGGAGAAAGTCTTACTATTAGTAGAGTTCGTGTATAACAATAGCTTTCATGCTAGTATCGGGATTGCATCGTTTGAAGTCCTGTATGGTAAGAGGTGTAGGACTCCTGTGTTGGTACCAAGATAGTGAATCAGTGGTTGTGGGGCCGGAGTTAGTCCTACAAACTACTAAGAAAGTAAAGTTGATTCAAGAGAGTATGAAGACTGCCCAGAGTAGATAGAAGTCATATGCTGATAAAAGGTGAAAGCCTTTGGAGTTTGCGGAGGGGGAACATGTGTGTCACGTTTCACAGTTGAGGAAGTATGTCCATGACCCGAGTCATGTAGTTGAGATGGGTGAGATTCAGGTCAAGGAGAACCTGACTTATGAGAAGAGACCGGTAGTTGTGATTGATTATAAGTTGAAGTAGTTGAGGGGAAAGTTCACTGGATTGGTAAAGACCTTGTGGGATGCAACTACTGGTGAGACTCCTTGGGAGATTGAGCAACTGTGTAGAGAACAGTATCGTTCTTTATTTCCATGTAAGTCTATTTTCGGGAACGAAAATTCCTATTTGTTAGGGGGTATTGTAACGTAGTAAATTATTTTTAGAAGGTTCAGCATGGGTGATTCAGTAGTCCAGAACGGGCCGTTCCAAACTACTAAATTGGCCTATAAAACGTGGTTGAAAACAGGTCGTTCTGGAAGGAGAACGGGCCATTCCAAACCCCAAAATGGGCCGTTCCGGAAAGAGTACGGGCCGTTCTAGTTGGAGAACGGGCCTTTCTGGATGAGTTCCAGAACGGGTCATTCTGCATGTGATTTTTGCACATGAAGGGGTGCAGAACAGACCGTTCCGGATTCAGAACAAGCAGTTCTGGCCACTCCTGAATGTCTATAAATAGAGGTTGTGGACAGTTGAGGAAAAAAGGAGGTTTTTAGAGAGAATTTTAGAGAGAAGGGATCTGGATTAGGGAGCTTGTTTTGGGTGGATTGAAGTCCCGGGTTGAGCTTCGGAAAGGGGAATTCCGCTTCTTGGCTATTTTGAGCCAATCTTCAAGTAAGGGAAGCTAGATTGTAGATTTTTTTTGGTGATGCCTGTGAGAGCTTGAGAGATACCAAAGATCAATCAAGGACCACTCCCACCAAGTACTAACGAAAATTCTATTCCTAAGGAGAGATGGTTGTGTACCAAAGACACTTCCAAGACACTCCTTGAAATGGCCAAATACAAAGTATGAACAACAAATAACAAGTGGCTTAAAGTAATTTTAAGAAAATAGCCACTAAGAATTAGTGAGGTATTAGTGACCAAATTTGCAACAAAAATTCAAATTAGTAAGGAAAAATTGGTCTCTAAAATCCGTCACTAATCCTTGTACATATGTTTTTTTTAAAAAAAAACATATATATCACGTCAATTTTGTTTTATAAATGAAGTATCAAATAATCTTGAATTAATATATATTTTTTTATATATGATTTAAGAATAAAGAACTATCAATCTAACGGTTGGATTTATAAAACTCACATTTAATATAAATTTATTGAGTAGTGTAATACTAAGTAAAACTTTCCTCCCTCTCTCTCTATCTATTATATATATATATATATATATATACTAACTTAACTATGAACAACAAAAAAATATAAATGCAGCTATTTATGATTAAAATAATTATAATATCTTGATACACACACATGTGTATATATATATATATATATACCCACCGAGTTTTTACCGAATAAATTAGCCATATTCACCGCATGAAAAAAAAACTCATACTTTTATCATAAAATATGCAGGCAAGAGCAGGTCTTAAAATATGTTAAATCGTATAGCATATTAGCATTACAACGTTCATATATTTGAACGTTTTTTCTGTTGTATAATTTGTATTTTATTGTTGAATAATAAGAAAATATTTTTAGTTTGAAACAAAACCAACTCTAATTAAAAGAGACATTACTAACAAGCCTTCTTAAGATATAAATTTAAAGATTAAGACCCTCTCTGATAAAAAAAAAAGATTAAAATTTAATAATAATATAATTGTATTTATTAATTTTATTTTATAAATCAAGATTTAGAATGTGTTTGAGAAAATATTTAAAGAGTTTTAACCAACTTATAAACTAATTTGACAAAATGTATGTTTGATAAAACTATAAACTTATAAGTTATAAGTGAGGATTGAAAAAGTCGAAAACTTATAAATTAATTAATTTAATTGAAAGTGTTTGATAATTAAATTTAGTTAATAATTTATCTAATATAATATATATAAAATAATATATTTATTTATTTGATAATGTGAGTGAAATAATAAGATGTATGATCCCCTAAAAAAAAAAGATGTATGAAAAATATTTTCCTAAATTAAAAAGGGTTAAAAATAATTTTAAGTAAATTTTTTCGAGGATAAAAAAAATAGTAAAAACAAAAGTTGTAAGTTTATGAGCTATAGACTATTTCAGTTAACTTATAAAAATAATAAGTTATAAGCTCTTATAATAAGTTTTCGTACTAAACAAGTTAATTTTGATCAAATTAATTTTTAAGTTGATTAAAGTAATTTGTAAGATTATCAAATACCTTATTAAACATATTCTAAAATAACCTTTTATTTAGTTGAGAGTTTATTTTAAAAATTTATTATAACAATTTTTATAAGTTAATTGAAGTGACTTATAAATTATAATTTTTTTTTCTCTTTCTTTTCTATTCTTATTAATTTACTCAAAAATCCTTTTTAACGTTTTTATATCTAGAAACCATATTACATACATGTTATTCTCTCATTATCAAATAAATAAATTAATATATCATATATATTACATTAATCAGTTAGCTTATTGATTAATTTCCCTAAATACTCTCAATTCAGTTAATTAACTTATAAGTTTAAGATTTTTAGTTCTTAATCTGTAGCTTATGAAGTTTCAGTTAGCTTATAAATTTTCAGCTAATTTATATGTTAATTTTACTAAATTCACCTTTATTTTTTAAATAACTTAGTGTATTTATTTGGTTATATTAAGTATTCTTTAATTAATTAATAATTAGGATACTTATCAGTTGAGAATCATTTTTTGAAGCCAGAAACATTAAAATTTCTGGATATGCTCACCAATAAAGATGCAAATTAACACTATAAAGTTAAATGCTTATGTATTAATTAGCTCATTCTTACTTCAGGAAACGAATCAAACCTTTCATTTAAAAATTAGAAAAAACAACTTTTTGTAACCTATTCCTGAAACATGAACATCGATCCGTTGGGATAAAGTCTTGCAGTAATATGCTTGAAACAGTTATGGCATCAAAACCTTTTCTTATTTTTATTTTAATGGAGTAATTCATTTTATTTTATTAGTTTTTGATGAATTTTAAATGTTTTGAAATGCCTGGATTGAGAATTTATACACAATTTAAAATTTAAATATTTTTGAAATTTTTAAAAATTGTAGAATTTCAATTTCTCCTAAAAATAAGAACTTGAAATTTTACAGTTTTTTTATCTCACCTACATATATTTTATTGCTCTCTTTCTGTTTTTCTGTTCTCTTTCTTTTTATTAAAAGATTTATTAAATATTATTTAATATTAATTTTTTGAAATTAAAAAATATTTAAAAATTAACTAATATTTCTTTTTATAAAATTTAATCTTAAAATTTCAAATTAATATATATATATATATATGAGGAGGGTTTAAACGACACCGGTGTAACTTTTACTAAATGTTACACCGTTCAATAATTTTATATTAAATGTAAATTTTGAAAATTCAACCGTTAGATTGAAAGTTCATATCTCTTAGATCATATATATCAAATTTTGTATTAATATAAGATGATTTAATACTTCATTCTCATAAAACAAAATTGACGTAATATATACATTTCAAAATGTACTAAAATATGAACACTTTGATTACCTTCAAGTTGTTGTTCAATTTTAACAAAATTTGACATATATGATCTAAGAGATATGAACTTTCAATCTAACGGTTAGATTTTCTAATATAAAGTTATTAAGCGGTGTAACACTTAGTAAAAGTTACACCGGTGTCGTTTGAACCCTTATATATATATATAATCAGTTTTATCGAAATTAAATTATTCTATCCAAATTAACATTAAAAATTTGAATTGATTTGTTAAAAATTACAAAATTTTTAAAGTTTTTCGTACAAATTAACACAGTAATAGTTTTGTTGAGGGGAAATCACCAGAAGCATTTTGAAAAGGAACGAATATAAAAGGGACAGAGATTGTACAAGATTGACAATCAAACAAGGTGGAGTCACATTAACTAGAGCTGAGCTTGCATATGCATGCATGCATGTGCCCAAAAGGTTAATCTTTGAAACCTTTTTGACACCTGAGATAAATTTGGTTGGCTAGTCTCAAACTTTAACATTATTCTGTCTTCATTCTTCTTAGACTTTTATGTCTAGTCTAGCAATAAATGTTTTCTAACTCACACGCAAAAAAGGAAAATCCCAACTTTTCCATATATATGAGTGAATTATCTTGTTAATTGGCAATTAACCATGATTAAAAATCTTTAAGAGCAAGTATGAATGAGTTATATGGAGCCGCTCTAATCCCAGTAAGCATAATATATATCCACCATACATCATACAATTTGCATACTAGCTAAAAGTTGAGAAATAACAGTTGCCACATTTCAGTGTGTATAGTATATGATACGATATAAGATTCTCGGTGGCTGAAATTAATTAATATCAGTAACGTCTTCACATTAGTTCATTTCATATGATCAGGGAATCTAGATATTACAGATGCAACCTAATTAATCAAATTGTCGATAATTAATGCATGCCTTCTGTAATTGCTCATATGCCTTTATTTAGAATATTTTGATGAAAACATGCGTGAAGGCACTACTAGCTAGAACCGATGTGAAGACACTACTAGAACTGATTTAAATGACTTCCCAAAATTGATGTAGATAATCCAGTATGTAGTAGTGAAGAATCTTCGATTATTAGAATTTTGCTCAGGTGTAGGACATATGCACGAGTTTTTTTGGATGAAAAATATAGCAAGGATGATCGTAGTCATGTTATACACCATATATTGAAATTTCACGTGATACATTGGATTGAATTCTTAGACAGGTATTGAATTCCTCTTGACGTAAGGCCTTTAAGAATCTACTGTACGATATATGAGATTTGAAATTAGACTTTGGGCCTGGCCGAAAGCACTCGAATCTAATGATTTTCACATTTTTTGTCATATATCCCATGCTTTGTAATAGGTATATATTTTTCTGATGGACCACAAAAAATTCCTTGTCATTTATCTTGTCAACCAAATAAAAAAAAAAAACTATTTCTCTTTTCATTTTTTCAGTTAAACAAAATTTTTGACTTTTTTTTTCAGTTCTTTGAACCAAACATATCTCAAGACATCATATTTAGGTTATTCAATATATTGAATTATATTCTATGTGAGACTCTGGTGTAGTACACCAACAATTTTGGCATCTATAAATAAGATTGCATGCATGAGCCACACCTCACATCAACTCAACAAGCCTCTTCGTTTGTATTACTTGTCTTGTATTTGAGTTGAGCATTTCCAAACGCTATGGCCAACCCAATTTCTATTCGTCCATGGTCTCGTTTGGCCTCCTTGCGTTCTCCTCAGTCTGAGATTTCACAACCTTCTCTCAAACCAACAAACACTACTTCTCATGACAACAACCAAAGTGCCACTGCCACCAAATCTCTACCAACTACACCACATGATGTTCACAGCCCAATTCAGTCACCAAAGCTCAAACTCACTACCCGAATGACCTTTTCACCTTCTAAATTGAAGGATAACCCTCAGATTGAGGCAAAGATAGAGGTAGAAGAAGTGACCATTAAAAAGCCTAATGACAATGGCCAAAATGAAAAACAGGTGACAAACAAAGAAAACGAAACCAAAGGGAAATGTTTTCACACACCAAAATTTTCGGGGTCTGAGGGCATAAGGGCCATAACAATTTCAGGGGAAAACACAGGTGCATACATGCAAATAACCAAATCCAAAAAGAAACGCATGTACGTGAACAGCAATGTGCAGTGTGTGAACAACTCAATGGTGTTCAACGCTAGTTTAACCCACCATGATCCAGGGGTGTACCTTGCTATCCCAAAAAAGCCATTTGGTGAATGATTTCATCTCAAGGAACGTGTTGGTGGTAAGTGCAATTGATTCAAGGTGGCGTAATTTTAAGTCAATTCTTCGTTGTTTTAAGCTTATTAATGGTGTGGCTCTTATGTACTACGTAAAAATATTAAAATGATAAAAAAAAAAAGGTCTTAATTAGTTATAGTGGCTATCAAAGGGATTCATGGTGTTCTAACTCTTGTGCTCCACGTTTTGAGGAGCGGAACACAATTAATGGTCCAAAAACTGTATATGACTATGTTTTTGTGTGACAGGAGTAGTAAGAGTCAATTGGTATAATATTATGCGGGTGATTGTTTATGTAATTTTATGATTCACGAAAAGGATAACGTGCATTTTCTCAATGCTTACTCTCTCCTTTCTTATGCCACTGTCTGCTCCAACCAGACATTAAAACACCTCACAATCACTAACTAGTACCGAACATTTGAATTGTATACTCTAAATGAATATGTGTCAATAACCGCCACCTTTATGCAAGCTTAAGTTTGTTTATGTAAGAAATTAAAGAGAAATATCATGCACTAATAATTTATAAACATTTTTTTTACAGCAAAAAAAAAAATACTTATATTAATAAAGAATAGGATAAAGGGTACAAGAGTATCCAACCCTTACAAGTCATAGACAATATCAATACATTAAATTCTCTCCCCCATCAAACAAAAAACTATATTAGACAAAGGTAATAATTAAATTCTCTTCTCAATCAAAATAAACTTTCTTTGTCACCGCCTAACTTACATAAAATATGTTGGTCGAAACTATACTTCGCCCTCTAAATAGTAGCATGTCATACTTGTTGCATCCACCTATATTGCCATTAATTATGCATAATCCAAGATTGTTACACCATTGAGTAAAAGCATAAATGAAAGACTTTTGGAGCATATGAAGCCATGACTAAGAATAAAAAAAAATGTCTTTCATAAGTTTATCTTTGTCAAACTAACCAACTTCAAACACATGAAGATTCCTATGTTTCCAAATACACCAACTTGTTGTAGACCAAACCACACGCTAGGTTTCCTCCTCCACTTTTGAATAGATAGGCCTAGGAATGAAATTGAAATGTTGATCCAAGTTTTAGGGAACGGGCTAGCGGCAATTTAGCCAAGAAAGTCATTGTTTCCATATACTATCTACCAGAGGGCAAGTACAAAAGATATGTGAGGAGGATTCAACAATAGAATAACAAATAAAGCATATGGTCTTGTTGAGGTTGTAGTAGAATATTTCTTTTTAATAAATTCTCAATAGTAGTTATAGTATTGTGTAATAGCCTCCATATGAAAATAAGGACCTTTGAGGGCATTAGGAGAGTTCAAATTTGTGCAAATTTTGGATCTACATGACTTAGTTGTTTAAGGTGGATATCTATAAGTTTTGCTTTGATTGTGAAAGTCCATGTTTGATCTGCCAACCAATTTTATGTATCTAAGTGGTCTTGGTGGAGTGTCACATTTGAGAGTATCTATTGTAGAGATTGTAATTGCCTTGTCTCCCATTCAAACCAGTTCCTATGCCATTGAAGCTTCCAAACCCACCTACCATCAATCCAACTATCTGTAATGCTGTGAGTTGAGATCTTAGTGTTAAGAGGCTTTGGGGGTGTAAGGATCCTTGTTGAGCTTCAGTGGTATTGGGAGAGAGTTCCTAGGTAGACACCCGGTGTGACCTTGGAGGGAAGAGTATATAAGGTTTCTGTTTGAACAAAGCCTTATAAACTCATTTCTCTTAACTTTCTATAGAAAGGATTCACTACTAGAAAAATTAAAATTTGTGACGAAAATTTGTGACGGATAAAATGTCGTCACTAATAGTGACGACTTTTGTGACGAAAATTTTATTTTTGTGACAGATTACTTATTTTTAGAGTTTGTGACGGATTTTGTGACGAAAAAATTTCCGTCTCTAACAATTCCGTCACAAAAGGGGTCACTAATAAAAAAAAAAATTTGCGACAGATTTAGTGACGGATTTTGATTCCTCTCTAAATATTTCGTCACAAAAATCCGTCACAAAATTTAACGAATAATTTTGTGACGGAAATTTTTAAAAATTGTATTCCGTCACAAATTCCGTCACAAACTGTGAGGGATTATGTATCCCTCTCAAAATAGAAAATTTTATTGTACAATTATTATATTAAGAATTATGTATAAATAAAAAATATTTTTCTAAAAAATAATTAAAAATTATGAAACTAAATTATTTTTTTCATCAAAAGATTAAAAATTAAAACATAAGAAATGAATTAATTTAAATAATAAGTTGTCATTTTGAAGTATAAGAAATTAAAATATGAATTAGGAAAAAACTTTTAATTTAAAAATACTTATGAAATTATAAAAAGACAATATTATTTTGCATTTTAACTAAAAAAGCTAAAAATAAATATATTAAAGTATATTTATAAATTATATATAATTATATATAACTATATATATATATATATA